TATTTTTTATGGTTTTGTTTCTGTAATCCTCATGTGAAATCACATCAGTTACCTTTTATTTTTATGGTTTTGTTTCTGTAATCCTCATGTCAAATCACATCAGTTACCTTTTATTTTTTATGGTTTTGTTTCTGTAATCCTCATGTGAAATCACATCAGTTACCTTTTATTTTTATGGTTTTGTTTCTGTAATCCTCATGTGAAATCACATCAGGTTTCCATTTATTTTTATGGTTTTGTTTCTGTAATCCTCATGTCAAATCACATCAGTTACCTTTTATTTTTATGGTTTTCTTTCTGTAATCCTCATGTCAAATCACATAATTTACATTTTAATTTTATGGATTTATTTCTGTAATCCTCATGTCAAAATCACATCAGTTACCTTTTAATTTTATGGATTCATTTCCGTAGTCCTTGTGTCAAAAGCAGTAAATCACAGTAAATTCATTAGTTGTTTTTTCTTAGATCTAATGTAAAAATAATGTGTTTGTTGAGTGTAATGTTTCACAGAGCACTTAAGCTCATAAAATTTTAGATGTTTTGTTTTAATAAAGTTTTGTGATGCTAAGGTGAGAAATTTCTCATTTTTACGTATTAGTTACTTTTGTTAAATATATAACAATAAATAAAATGTATATACATAAAAACAATGATCTGTAGTGCTTACTGCATACTCAAGCTCTTTTGCACTAAGGTAAACATTTTTGAGTCTCACAAATTTGGGTGACCATAAAAGAATTTATACAGCTTTCAAATATGCAATTTAGAAAGCAAAAAATATATCAATCACTAGAATAAAATGTCTTGAAACTACTATAATTGATCTGGTTTTCTAAGTGAGCTATTAATATGTTCAGAGCACTAAAATATAATCACCACATACCAAGCAGTTCTGCCAATTACCATTTTATGGTGGAAAATAACAACTTGTAAGATTTACTTAGAGGAGCATCTTCTCTTTATATTTGTTACAAACATGTTCAGCCACGTAAAGTTGATTATCAAACAAACTAAATAACAACATTTACTTAGAGGAGCATCTTCTCTTTCTGTTTGTTACAAACATGTTCAGCCACGTGAAGTTGATTATCAAATAAACTAAATAATGACTTGTAAGATTTACTTAGAGGAGCATCTTCTCTTTATGTTTGTTACAAACATGTTCAACCACGTAAAGTTGATTGTCAAACAAACTAAATAACTAAATAAATGTTGTTTAGGATTTCCATTTTAATAAAGATCATCTATGTACTGATAATTTAATTAGATTTTATTTGTGTATTTTAAGTCAGTAATTGTATCACAAGGAAATATGTACTGATTTAAGATTATGGCCACACTAAAGCCTGATTGAATTAATGGGCCATAGGTTAAAATAAAACCTTTTTTTCATTGATATTGAGTGTTGATATTTTCTGTGCTCTAGTTGTGGTTGGCCCTAGCATCTCTGTGTGTCCTTGACCATGATCATGTCGAACGATTATCATCAGGCCAATGGGTCGGAGCCACAGATGGTCAGCCATCACATCATAGGGTATGTATGATCAGGTTTATCAGAATAAAAAATTTGGTAAAACTTGGAAAATAAATTATATTAAGATGAGATTTAAAAAATGGTGAAAACACAAGTTTTCATGTTGTTTGACAGCTGTATTTTAAGCTTGTTTACCTCTACTTCTGAGCCCTTTCTTCTTGAGACTACAAATCATATGAGGTTTGACTCCTTTAATTAGTTATAAATTTTGAAGAATGTTCTTACTTGTATCTAATCATAATAGGATTCAAATTCTGAATCATTTTTTTATATTTCTGCAAATAATAACATAAGGTTTGACTCATTTGATTAGTCATATTTTTTGAGGAATGGTTATGATTGTAATAAAACTATTTACTTCTGAGTTATTCCTTCTTTTTCTACAAATATTAATGTAAGGTTTGACTAAGTTGGTCATAAGGTTTGAGGAATGGTCCCAATCCCTTCTTAAGGCCTGGCATGGCATGGCCAGGTGGTTAGGCCGCTCGACTCGCAATCTGAGGGTCGCGGGTTCAAATCCCCATCCCACCAAACATGCTCGCTCTTTCAGCTGTGGGGGGTGTTATAATGTTACAGTCAATCCCACTATTCGTTAGTAAAAGAGTTGCCCAAGAGTTGGCGGTGGGTGGTGATGACTAGCTGCCTTTCCTCTAGTCTTACACTGCTACATTAGGAATGGCTAGTGCAAATAGCCCTCTTGTAGCTTTGTGCAAAATTCAAAACAAACAAACAAACCCTTCATAAGTAAGAGGGACTCCTAGTTTATCTCAAAGTGTTAGTACAGTATTTAATCTGAATAGCTTTTCGTTCACTGATTTTTCCTCATTTTATATTGCTACATAAATATGGGTAGCTATAATAATGCTTTTTATATTATTACAAAAATAATATCCAATTTGTCACAGCTTTAGATATAATAAGGCTCCTATTATTCCTTCCCTACTGCTTCCAGATATTTTTAAGTAGACTTTAATTCTTAAAGTAGCAGATAGTAGCTTGCACAATCAGATAAGAACATCCTTTTATATATCTGTGTGTTTATGTAATTAAATACTGATAAAGATGTGTTTGAAAGACCAAACAAACAGCATAGATTTTATATCTATAAATCAATGGTTTTTTGACTTAATGGATCTAATTCGATAGATTTAGCTAACTGAAGCATTGTGTGTTAGTATACTAGAAATTTAAACCTGGAGTTTTGTGGTAAATTTAACAATCATTGGTGATTTAGAAGCAGTTCTGAGACCAGTATTTTAAATAACTACAGCGTGGCTACAAACCTGAAAAAGCCAGGGAGTTTTAAAAGGGTGGTTGTCAAGAAGTCAGAGAAAATTGAAAATTATCCTGATATTTAAAAAAAAAGTCTGAAAAAATTTTCTCTTTCTCTCCCTTTGTTGTTGTTTGTTTTGTTTTTCAGAACCAACATATGTACACAAACCATGCTCTCTAGTTATACCAGTTATTGTATATTTTAACATTATCTTAATCAGTCACTCTGTTAGTCTATATGGTGTTATTATCTAATTCATTATATTTGATGATGATTTAGATAAATATTGTATTTCATATAAACCTGAACATTTTATTGTTCACAATCAAGTTTAAATGTCCTTGTTTAAAGATTTTTTTTTCTGTAGAATCACAGTTTGAAGTAAATATGCTTTAAAATCTTTATTACATTTTTTACCTTATTATAAGCTAAAGTAACATTGATCAGGAAAAGTTGAAATAACATTGCATTGTGTACACGTGTGCAGCTCTGGGAAAATCTGGAAAATTTTTTGAAAGATTGTGGCTACTCTGATCTACTAGAACAGCTATGGGTCATGACCCTATGGGGATTGCGGGAGGCTCAAAAGGAGATTGTGAGGAAGTTGTAAATAGGCAATAAATTTCTGTTAGTTTCTATAAATACTGACATATTTGAAGAGAGTTGCTTCATTTTCTCAACCTCTTCACTGTCTGGTTGTGCTGTGGGGAAAACATTTCCCTTCTCTTTTTTTGTCTTTTAAAATTTGTTTTAGAATTTTGTGAATTACTACGTGAAGGCTATGTGTCCACCCCTAATTATGAAGTGATAAACTATAGGGAAGGCAACTAGTCAACAACACACATGGCCAACTCTTGGACTACTCTAATCTAATTAAATAGTAAGATGTCACTCTTTTAGTGCACTGTGACCCTGAAGTATAGAGTTTTTTGGCCATGGTATGTGAACTGTGAATCCTGAAATTAAAAGTTTGGGTGTGATAACCACCAGGCTATGTCTGGCCTTTCTCTTTAGTGTTTTACATATTTTATGATTGACTATTTTAAAGTTATGGAGTAATTTAAAAATAAACTATGTATAGATTTGTGCATATGTCCTAACATATTTTTTTAGAATGGTAGTTACTTTCTGGTTTTAATTTACATGTGATTCTTCACTTTCACAAATGAGAGTTCTTAAGTGAAAAAGTTTGAGAACCCACCACTTCCTTTTAGGCATTATATTAACTATTTGTCTGTTCTTTTCAAAACTTTGCTGAGGGTTAAACCTGAGGAGTCACTTTCAGTGAATTTAATGAAAAACTAGAGAAAGTGGAAAATACTGAAAAAGAATTTCATTTGCATTTTGGTTTTCACATTATCTTAGTTTCCAAATTGACATTTAAAAGCATTTGTATCATAGGGTTAGAATAGTGATTGTTGTGCCATAATAACTCAGTATAAACAAATAGGGAAGAGTTTATGTTCAGTCAAAATACTAACTAACACAGTATTCCAAGTTTTATATTAATGCAAATACATCTAATGTTAAAGCTGATTTGAATAAAAGAGGAAAATAAAAAAATTACACATGTAAGTTTTTGTATATATTCAGCCTACTTGTGACAACCATGATGATGGAGAAACTTTGGCTATCATCTTGTGCAATACCTGTGGCAACTTGTGTGCTGACTGTGATAGATTTCTACACTTGCACAGAAAGACCCGTTCCCACCAAAGACAGGTGAGTTTTCTTGTTTAACTTCATACAGGTAGGGTTTAATACCTGTGGTAACTTGTGTGCTAACTGTGATAGATTTCTTCACTTGCACATAAAGATGCATTCCCACCAAAAACAGGTGCGCTTTCTTTTTTAACCACGTACAGATACCTGTAGTAACTTGTGTGCTGACCATGATAGGTTTTTTTCACATGCTCCAAAAGACCCGTTCCCACCAAAGACAAGTGAGTTTTTGCTGCATGGGTTTGTACAGCCACCTTATTGTTATGGAAAATATGTTTGTTGTTTATAAGTGAGAGATAAATTATATGAAAAAGGTTTACCAGATCATCAGTGTTAACCTGGGAGTGAAGTTTACACAAAATAGTTTGAACAGTTATTAAAAATATGACATATTTATTGCTAAAGGTTTCAGGGTTGTTGTTTTTTTTCAAGTATGTGATTTTACTGTAGTTAGTATTTATCTTATTTCTCAGGTATTTAAAGAAGAAGAAGAGGCCATCAAAGTTGACTTGCATGAAGGCTGCGGGAGGACAAAACTTTTCTGGGTTATGGCTCTAGCAGACTCTAGAACCTTGAAGGCTATGGTAGAGTTCAGAGAGGGAACAAGAGGTATACAATAGTTAGATTATCAAATATATGTTTGTCCAGGTGTCCCAGCTGCTGGTCTATGGACTTACACTAATCTGCAGACATGTTTTTGCCTGTTCTAGGACAGTTTTCTACTGAACATTTCGTTACTAGGGTATTTCACTACCTGTTCCAGCTACGTATAAATAACTCATTATGGCTGGACAACTATTTGAGGCAGTGGCTAGACAACTATTTGAGGAAAGCTTGAATCACTTTTAAAGATTTGAAAATCTTTCATCATTTTAAATAAAATGTTTTACAACATAAGAGCCTTTTTTATTTTGAAGGAGTGTTTCTCTGATAAACTAATATTGAAGAAATATTTACTAATATTTTACTGACTGGAGTGTTTGTCTAATGAAATAATACTGACGAAATATTTTTATTTTATGATCTTAAGTAAGATATGTAAGGGAGATTATGACAAAATTATCACACAGCAAAATGTGTGGGAACAAAATGTTCAGTAGCAAACTGTCCAGCCACCATTTTTGCCAGTCTGCAGAAGCATCCAGTGAAAGAAAAAAAAACTATAAAAGATTCAGTTTTTTTAAAATTTATATGCGAGTTAGGAATAGGAGATACACGTTGTTTCCTTTTTAGCTCAGTATGAAATATATTATGATTTTTAACTTTCACTTCATAGCTTCTTGAAGAAGCTAAATTGGGAAACAGTGCTATAGGTCTACAGTAAGGTTCCATAAGATTTTACTGATCTGTGGAATGAAAAAAAGATTGTTCATAATGTTACTAATTACTGGCTTCAGGGTATGTAGCTGTAGCTTTGTGTTTTTACTTTATTTTATTTTCATTGTATTTTCTTTCTAACGATATTATGTTAAATGCTAGTATGGGAAACTGTTCTGAATGAGCTACAAAGTGCAATTAACTGAAAAATTAGACTCTCACTATAAAAACTTGGAAGATAATATTAAACTTCATCTTTAATCTTATTTTTTAATCTGACTAATGTAAAGAACATAGATTAAAACCTATAAGTTAACATCTGATTGAATTATTTAAATAAGATAACCTGCAATTTATGATGGAAAGTACCATAAAAAAATTTTTTTTTTTAGTATTTCACCATTAAAAAACGAGTAGTTTATATTTTTTATCATGCATTGAAATAGCAGCTATAGTTTGATTTTTCTTAATGAAATAAAATCAGAAACATAATTTAAGACTGGCACTTCTGGTGTGGTATTGGCATTAGATAATTCCAACTATTCTAGTTAATTTGCTTGGTGTTATTTTAGACAAAAACCAATATAAACATAAAGTATAATTACAGTGATAAAGATAAGTTTTGTCTTTCATTTAAAAATATGAAAGTTGAACCATAAAGATTAAGGGTTAATCACTACTCGTGTTATCCATATTGGACTAGAGGTCTTAATAACCTGAAGATTTATTGATACCAAAGTAGAATACTATATATACTTTTCCTAATGATATATCCTTTTTATTTATCGAGGTATTTAAAGAAGAGACCATAAAAATTAACTGAATTTTGGTTTTCCTTAAACAGGTCATCTTTTCAATCCATGACATGTATAGTCTGATTTTTTTGATTTTTTTTTTGTTCTCTCCACATTAGATAAGACAACCACTTCCTCAGGAACATGTAGATTTTGTGGGGCTACAGGTCAAACTGGATTACTTGCCATCGGTAATGTTTGCAGTGAACCAGAATGTCAAGTAAGTTGGTAAAAATGTAATTGCTTAAAGTGGTTATTTCATTTGATAGTAATTTTCTGGAACAATTGCCATTTGAGTTTTTGTTGTTGTTTTTTTTATGCTGAAACGCCCAAGAATGAAAATTACTACATCTAGAAGCTAATGGACAACATCTACTTGTAAATATGAGAACTCCCAAATGTTAAAATTGAAAATTTTTACAACAACATTTAAAATATTGATTGATTTTTAATAGAAATTTATTAGAAAAATAAGACAATGAACTATTATTAAAATTATTTTATGTTGATATCAAAAATATTTAGTGTGGTTGAGGAAGACTTGTAGAAATGACTCGGAAGGCACACAACAGAATCAGTTTAAGAACAAATAGTTTTCACATAATATAATTTTGTGAAACTATAGAAAGTTTTTTTTCCAAAAAAAAAATAAACTATCATTTTTACATACTTCGAATTTCACATAAAAAATCAGTTTCCAATTATTTTTAATTAACTATATAATATATCCTGTGATCACATATGGCAGATTGTTAGTATTTTGGTTGCCAGAATATATATTTTCTGAAGTATTTTGCTTATTAAACATTCTAATTAATAGAGTCTGTGCTGTAAAGTTAGTAATTCTAATTGAACAAAACATGAGATTTTAATTTAAAATAAATATTTTTTCTATGATTTGATTTATATAGCTTATACCACAAAATTGTGTATTCTGATTTATTTTTTTTTAATTCTGCATTTTATGATAGTACGATTTATGTACATTCATGTATGTTTACAACAGAACTACTCATGTAGAGGAATATCAAAACAAACTCTACATAAAAACAGACAGGTTTTTATGAAGCATGTGTTGACAGTTTTGCTGTTGCACTGTGTATTGGCTAGCAAGATTTTAATTTTGTATTTTGCTTTCTACTTTCTTAACAATACAGAACTTTGCATATGTATGCAAATCACTATGAATTGAAGAAATCATTTAATTCGCATTTCAAACTCTTATTACGCTAATTTTAGAAAGTTAACATTTTTATTTGTTTAGGTATTCTTCTTTCCTTGTGTATCCTGACAGCTTTTGGCACTATACATTTAATATTTCTAAATTAATGCACTTAGACTAGCGCAGTTTTTGCGTGATTCTCTTCAGTTCCTCTACATTTATAGTTTAAAATGTTTTGAAGACTAGTGTGACTAATATCTTTAAAATGTGGGTTCTTTCTCTCATTACAGTAGGTTTCTGTTTGGCAAATCATTATTATTACATTAACTTGCAAAATGTCCAGTAATGGCTTTTCATTACCCTTAATAGTATTATCACTGACACATTAAATGTTTATACATTGCATTGAACTTTTCTATCAACTATCTACAGTTAATTTGGTTTTGATTTCTTTGAGTACGTTGAATGGCTGTTTTAAGGTGGGCTTGATCTTTCTTAGTTTGTTCAGATTTTTTTAGCATTTTTCCAGATTCATATACTTTTTTATCATTGATCATTCTACTTAAAAATTGGTCAGTTGTATGCATTGAATTCATATTTTTTATGTAGACATAAGCTCCTTATTCGTATGATAAGCCTTGTTTAAGTCACTGACATTTGAGATGTAATAATGTTCTATTACCAATTCTGAGATGTCTGTGTATACTTGGTTTGCAACCATTCATTCCCAAATTATATTGTTTTGTTTTCTTCTGGAGTTCATCAACACATTACTGTTGACGTCTTCTTTGCCAGTGGTTATTATAATACAAATTAGTAGTTTGGACATTTTTGTCAGCATCTGATAAGCAAGAGTCTTACATAGTTGAAAAGTCCCCCTTGTGAAACCTCGTTTGATTTAATTTAGAGGTTATACACGTGAATTGTGCTGGCTTTGTTTATTCCATCATATTGGACATAAGAACAAACTGGTGAACCTAGCAGTTACATGGGTCATGTAGTAACACCAGTTGATTACGTTTCTGTTGGTTGTACAAACAACCAGAAGAAAAATCCGAAACTATCATTCTACAGATTCCCAGCTGATGAAGAGTGAAGGAACAAGTGGGTGAAATGAGCAGATCCAAGCAGTCGTGACAAGGAATGGAAACCAACAGCTTACAGTAGAACTTGAAGTTCACATTTCATCTCAGGTTAATTTTCTCATTTATAGTTTTATATGGTGGCAACTACATTACTTTCTACTTAGATTTAGATAAATCTATAGCATCATCTATAAATTCAACCTTATGTCATTGTCAGAGTAGACCTAAATGTACAGACCACTGAGATCTGCTGTATGCATAAATATGAATGTGGGTAGGACTAATTGCTTTTCACTATAGATATAGGCATATTTGTGCTAACTTGTTTTTCATTTTAGGTAAGAAAAGTGGCAGTCCACTTTTGCCAGACTTTGTGCCCTTAATTACACATATATCCATACACATTAACAAATTATATTATCTCTGAAGCTATAAGTATACTTAGGAGCCTGTAGCTGATGTCTGCAATGTTTGTTTTATGAAAAATGTGAATATTTGGAAAGAAGCATACATTAAAAGCTTTACTAGTAAAGGGCCTATAAAGTACACATGTAGATCTAATGTTACTTTTAGAATCCATGTGCTATGTCATTAAACAATCAGATCTAGATTCCAAGCCTAATACTGAGTAGTACTAATAGATCTAGTAAACATAAGCAATGTTAGCAAACAGCTTCACAAACAAGTCATTTACCTGTTAATTTTGGATAACATCAATCACAGCACAAATTTTTGACATTGTACCTCGTATCAATGTTTAGATTGTTCATCTAAATCCTTTGTCAAAGTGCTAAACGCAAAGTTTTCCTGTACAGAATGTATCATTACAGTAGGAGAAGTTGTCGTGTTTTATATCCAAAATGGCAGATGGTAAAACTAGTTCTGCTTTTAGTCACGTGACTGCATAAACTCTATAGTCGTTTATTATCACCATCACTTTTGATAATATTTTTTGCTTTGGTCCACTGTGCTGTATTATTTAGACTTAGTCTGCCAGTCGTAGCCAAGGAAGTCAATAATTATTTAGACTTGGTCCACTGGGAATAATCAAGGAAACCATAAATGATTTAGTGTTGGTCCACTGGTAATAGTTGAGGAAGTCTTGAATGAACTGAACTTGATAAACTGGTAATAGTCAAGGAATCCATGAATGAATTGAACTTCATATACTGCTAATAGTTGAAATGAAGCCATGAACAAATTGAACTCCATATACTGGTAATAGTTGAAAGGAAGCCATGAATGAATTAAACTTGGTCCACTGGTAATTGTTAAGAAAGCCTTGGATATTTTATGTTGTATCATTCTGGACAATGTTTAATACTAACAGCATTGGAACTATGCAGAAGAGAATATGCCCTCTTACAGCACATTAATATAGCTTGCTCTTTCACACACAATTTGGAGGTAGCATGGCCTAGTGTTTAGAGGTTTGTATCCATAATTGAGATGTTGCAGCTTCAAAGCTGTATTGTCAGCTCTGATTAGTAGTGTGTTCTGAAACTTTTCATCTTAGGCAGCACTGTGCTGTTCATATGATTATGTGACTGTAATTGACTGTATTGTCAACTCTGGTTAGCAGTACATGCTAACCTATCTATCTCAGGCAGCATTATGCTGTTTATATGGTTACGCTTTACTTTATTTTACATGTGATGTTTTTAATTAAACTTTAAATTTGATAGATGGTATAACTCCATTGCTTCATGGGTTTTGAGGACATACCTCTTTTACTGGCATACTTTTTTCCAATAACACTGTATGGTGTGTACTTTAGTTTTTTCATTCTCTCATCACTTTCTTTTGACCTCTTTGTTTGGTAATGATATGGATTAATCAAAATTGGGAATGTTGATAGATGTTACTTAACATTGAAAAATTTATTTGAATTGATAGTATATAACTTAACTTCTTTATTGAAGAGAGAGAAATTTCAAAAATAATAACATACTTCCTGATCTAAACCACCCTGCTTTTATCGCAGGGGCATGCTCGCGGTGCTTGCACAAAGCTCCTGCCTTGTGGCCACATGTGTGGGGGAATACGCAACGAGAACACTTGTTTACCATGCCTGCACGGTTGTAACGGCGAAGCTTCTGGACTGCGGCAGGATGGGGACGACATGTGCATGATCTGTTTTACAGAGGCACTGGCTTGTGCCCCAGCTATTCAGGTGGGTTAGTCAACCATTATTGTTTATGTTTATCTCAGTTTAGGGCTTTGTATGCTTTCTTTGTTTTTGGCTTGCATGTGTGTTGGCTGTAATTTGTTACTAATGGAATAATTTTGCAATAACTGATATCAAAATCTTATACTTACAGGAAAATACACAATGACAAAAAGGTTTGAACCTGTGTATGATTTTTTTTTTATACATGAGGACATTAACATACCAGTAAATATTACATTAGGAAACATTTTCACAGTGAAGTATTTAAATATAAAGAAATTATGCATTTGAATAATGACTATTTTCTAGAATAACTAGATATACTCTTATCACATATTTATTTGTTTTACTTTTGTAGCTTTAAGTAAGTAATTGTGAGAAGATTGAAATAACTATAATTTACATTTCTATATTTAAAGCCCCATGAAAGGTTGTTCTTCATTGTTGTTGTCAGACATTTTCAGCTAGTTTATAACTTTGCTGCTGTGAAGATTTATTCAAAATGTACAATCATTCATTATACAGAGGGTTAATTGTACTTTATCAGAAAGTTGCAAGTGCTAATGCAGTGGTATGTCATTATATATGCAAACATTTAATTCCTGTATATTTGGCTCATGGCAAAGTCCAGACCATTTAACAATACAAGTCTGCCATAGGTGGACTGTGGTTGGAGAAATTTGTCACAACCCTTTCTAAGGAAAGACATTCATAAAACAAAATAACAGAGAGATGCAAGGTTTATTTCAAAGATGACTGACACACTGAATAGTGTTGAGAAAATGGATACACCCATATGGAGATGCTAAACCACCTAAAACACATCCCATCACATGCAGAACTGCCACTATCATTTCTAAATATCTAGACTGACCATCCAGGGAACCTCTTCAGAAAATAAATGCTATCAAGGTGCACATATCTTAAGCAGCTATACACAAGACAATTCACAATTAATTTACCCTTCTAAAGAAGTGCAAGCTGCTTTCTAGGGACATTTACAAGAGAAAGGTAAACTCTATAAAACATGTTTGTAACACTGAACAAGTCCTTTATGACTAAAACAAGAAATTGGTGATTTACTCTACTACAAACTGTTACAGACTTTCCAACATGATAAACAGAATGTAAAGAATTAAGTTGACTTGTAAGATTGTCATAAGCTTCTCATATGATGGAAAATTTAAAGTGCACCCTAAAGCAAAGATGAACTCTAGTTACTATCAGAATGAAATTTGACACTAATTATGCAAGGAAAAAATTCTTCCTACACTGTGGCTAAGTGACGTGTGTGAAATCATGTGACTGTGCATTTACTTAAATATCTTAGGAGCCAGTGTCCATATGGTCTAAGAATGACCTTTTAAACTTTTGCAGAAATTTGTTACAGTGGATATTACAATATGGGGTTGCAGTACTTAATCATAGACATCAGGATGAGCATGACTGACAATGGAGGTCATGGAACCAGAAACATTAGTCTTATAAAATACTATTAACCTTCTATTTAAGCAAGTGAAAAGTATGAAATTATTTAAAAGCTTAGAAAAACATTAATTAAAATAGTTGGAATGGAAATTTAATGCATTTAAAGATTTTAGAAAATGTTCATTTAACCTTAATTTATTTGTACCCCATTTTTGCTAACTTCTATAAGTAGTTTCACCCAAGTTTCAACATTGAACCATGTCTTCTGAAACTTCAGATGTTGTGACATGCCTCAGTATATACAATGTTATCAGAAATCTGAAATATATTTACTTGTGTAAGTAATTTTTTTGTCATGTTAAGTTAGAAAAAAATAGAAAATAAACATTGTGCAAAGATTACAATAAATAGTTCTTAAGACATTCAAGTAACTTATAGACAAATTACATTTGGATTTATATAAAACTATATAAAAACAAACACAAAAAAGAAAAGAGTGAAAACTGTCAACCATTTTGTTATTTATCCAACTAAATGTATTATTTAGTTGCTGTAGATATTCTTAACTGTACAATTATAAACTTTTTTGTCACAAAATAAAACTTAAGCCTATATGATGTAAATTATACATATTATAAAGTCTCATTCACATGTTAATGTTTTTTTCCAAATTCTGAAGTAAGTTGTCTTACCACTCCCTGTACACCAGCACTACTTTGTATAATGTGTTTCAACAAACATACTAAGAAGATTGTGCTAGTTTTTAACATGTTTGTTTTTGACAGTAGGTAGTGATATTTAGCTAAGACTTGGATATTTTTATCACTTGAGTACAGCTGTTTTAATGTTATTAGACTATCATTTACAATGAGAAGAGTAACTGAATACACCAGAAATGGCAATACCATCAACTCCAAAAATATTGAACATTTTTAATGTTAGCAGCATAGCTTCATCATGTTATCACATAACAGATTTAATGCTGGTAACTAGTAAATTACTTATAGCTGATAGTTGTTCTCACACTTTGCTAATTTCAGCATAATAGGTTCATTAGTCCTTTAGCTAATGAATGTGGGAGAACTTTTTCATTTGCTTAGAATATGCTAGACTTACCCACACATGTGTTAGCTTTCAAATTACAAACTTTGGGATTCATATGGACTACAGCAGTAATTCATGGGATTAATTACAGTATTGATATTAACTTTCTCTAAATTGTTTTTGGTGTGAGACTCGTGTTATTAGGGATCCCATAACCAAAGAATTCTTGGACTAAAGTAACTTCCATTTGTTAGATAACAGTATAAAATATATGTTTCAATTTTCACTAACTTTATGTACATTCTGTTATTCACTATGTTTTCCTAAGGTTTATAAAATTCAAATAACTTTCTATCAGTTTCTTAATTTTAAGTATCAACTACTTTTTAAAATAATAGTGCCTGTGAAGGAAAAATATGATTCATATATTTACTGATATGCTGAATAATTCTCCCATGTTCTTGAAAAAAATGTTTTTCCTTGACATTTAAGTTATAAAACTAAAAACAGTCAGTAATTATACAAGCTCTAACCTCAAGTTTTGTTGTTTAATGGTAATTTTTTATCGTAGAGTTATTAATTTTATAGAGAATACTGAGTATTTGTTATTCTTTGGATTAACAGCACATTTTGAAAGCAAATTAAAACTTTTATTTCATTTTACTTTCACCAGCTTAAATGTGGACACGTTTTTCATCTTCACTGTTCCCGTGCTGTTCTAAGTAAACGATGGTTAGGACCACGAATAACTTTTGGATTCTCTTTATGTCCAATTTGCAAGGTAAGTCCAAAAAGTAAAACAGTATAGTATTATCAGAATTTACTGAAAAATTCATAAGTATTGGTTTTAAGTTTTTTTAACTTTAACTAATGGTTTCCTAGTTAACGAATTGTGCTGATTTTTTCTAGCTTATGCAATAAAAAATGTTTAATAATAGTTGTGGTTTAAAACTTTAAATGTTGAAAGCTGGGAAAGCATTAGAAACCAATAGGCCTAAAATTTATGATGAAATCACAAACTACAATGTTTTGTGTTGTTATTTTTTTCCACATTCCTCTTTAATTGTTCATTGCGAATTCAATATCAGAGGCCTAAAAATACTTTCAGGTCTATCTTTTTTCTCCAAGTCACTTTTCAAGAGGCCTTTTGTTCAGTATCAAAACTTGTCAATTTACATGATTTTATCACAAATTTTAGGCCTGTTGGTATTCAGTATTTTATTAAATGAAGTCACGTCATTAAAATAAACTGAAAGTTTAGTTACAATTATTGAAATGAGAAGAAACTAGAAGTGTATACCATTACTTGTTTAGATGCAGGGGTACTTGGAAACCCTCATATATACACAAGCAGAGCATGGTGAACAGGAAGAATAAGGAAACATTCCCCATGTAGTCTAAGTGCTATAAACTAGCTAATACCATGAAAATAAGAAATGTTATATTAAGGAATATCCAGTAGCAGCTGTAATCAGCACAGCTAGACTAGTGACATAAAGGTACTACCCATGTACAGTGAAATAATTTATTTGAAAAGTTGAGAAAAAGTATTTGCTTTCCACTCTAGAAATTTGAACAAACATCTCTGTGGAAGTTTAGTTAAACTAAGATAGAGAGACTAAGATATGTTTCATTTTGGAAGTTTTTACAAATCTCCAGATGGAGAGATTTTTTTATCATACCTGCACTTCATGTGATAGATGTTAAGAAGTAATTTTAATAAAAAAAATTATTATCCATCTTATCTTTTTCCAGGCTCCAATGGAGCATCTAGTGTTAAAAGATCTTCTTGACCCAATCCGTGCCCTCTATGAGGATGTAAAGCGTAAGGCCCTTATGAGGCTAGAATATGAAGGATTACACAAAGCTGAAGCTATCACAACCCCAGGTGCTCGATTTTATTCAGACCCATCAGGGTTTGCCATGGAGAGATATGCTTATTATGTTTGTTTCAAGTGTAAAAAGGTGAGCCAGATCACTTCTTAGGGATGTTGTAACCCAAAAAGTCTTGGACCCAAAAAGTAACTTGATGCATAAATGTGTTTAATAATCTGACTGATAATTCATTAGTAATTAATTTTATTAACTACTAAGAACTGGTTAGTTTTTGTAAAAATCAAATCTTATGTGTGAAGTATGGTCATATATCTCCTTAGATGACGTTGTAATTAAAACTGGGTTTTGCTAGAGCAATGAGTAATAAAGCATTGAAAGTGTGTTTTGTATTTGTAGGCCTACTATGGGGGAGAAGCAAGATGTGATGTTGAAGCTGGAATAGCTGAAGATTACGACCCAACAGAGCTTGTCTGTGGAGCTTGCTCAGATGTTTCCCGAGCTCAGGTTAGTTTTATGGAAGAAGCAATGAATACTCTGAGTGGAGCTGTTGTATCATGGTAGTAGTCTTTTCATATATTTCCTGAACATGTTAGTTTCATGTGAAATTGTATGTTAAACAATGGCTAATGTGGAAGTGTGGTAAATTAAACAACAGACTTAAAGTATGAGGTTTTCCAGACATCTCCTAAAAACAAATTTTTATATGAAATGTGATGTGTTGAACAACAGAGATAAAGTTGGATGTTATTCAGATGTCTCCTTGACAGTTATTTGTTTATAAGAAATGTAGTGTTTCAAACAATACAGAGTAAAGAATTTTTTCTTGGTGAAGATTTTGGCTCAGGTCGTGTGTGTTTGTGTTTCTTTTAACTTTTAAGTTTCTCAGTATTTGAGAAAAAAAAATTCTATTGATAATTATCATGTCAAATGTGCTTTAATTTTGATATCCGATATTAACATAGAAAAAATTAACAGAATTAGTGGTATGCCATTTTTCTAAAGATCAGATTGTCATGTGGTGGTAAAAAGTATTTTAGTTTCAATGTTTACTTTGAATGAAGGAGTTTGTAAAGAAAAAAATTTAGGCATGCTTCTATTGAACTGGACAAACTGTCCTGTGAAACCAAACCTAAGTAAGCCCAGACTTGACCATATTCTCAAGGAACTTAGATAAGAAATAGATTGCTCAGCTCGTTAAGTATGAAGGTGTAATTCATCATCACAAGGATGAGGAAACGTCCATATAAGACTGATACTGTTTTTAAGTAAAGAGAAGAATGCATCATAATGTTTTAACCCTCTCCACATGGGTCAAAGGCCATGTCATTACATTTGTTCAAAATTTTATTGAACTACTATTTTATGAATTTATGTCAATAAGTTTGGAATCAAACTGTAGATTATAATTCAACTTTTAGTATTATATGTTATTTAATTTCTTAATTTAAAAGTAAATATTAAAAGTACACGCTTGAACATCGATTTTTGTGTATGTCATGTGGTATGTTGAATGCAGCACTGGTTCAAATTAGATGTTTGTGATGTCCAAATACAAAGTCTATAGTTTCTTTCATATTGTGAACTCAAATTACCGATATTAACAAGCTAGAATATAAGATAAGAACCCCCTGTCTTTTCTGTTTGCTGAGATATCGCTTATGTACTGAATCAAACACAGTGAATCCACTCAACTCTTTCCATTTTTGGAAATGCTCCCTTATATACACTCACTTATGTCTGTGACATGTGAATAACCAATCAAAGCTCAGAATGTCCCCCTAGTGGCTTTCTCAGCCATTTTCAAGTATTACGACATCATCTTGTTCTTTTCACACAAAACTTCAAGCTGGTAAGTTGAGTCTTTAGTCTGCTCGAAATTTCATATTTTTT